GCAATACCAAAACACTCTACAAATGCATAAAATTATAACAGGAACACACACACTGACTAAATAATGACCCTCTACATCCGCTGGTAAGTTTGGAAAGAACGAAAAATGCGTAATTTCTAATTACTCTAACCAAACAATTCGATATTTACAAATGCAAACAGTTTCGAATCGGACCATAGTACAAATCGATAATCGATTACATTCCGATACATCGACAAATAACCACAACGAGTTATTTAACAACAATTAATATTGTTATCTGCTGGATCAACTAAATCCTAATACAGATGAACTAATTATTAACCTCTTATAAAACATTTACTAATTATAGTACAAAATGTACATCCTTAAAATTAAATAATATCGAACGCTACCCCATAATCGATTTATAAATTACAGAGTTACTAATCCTCAACAAAAACGTATCTATCGTTTAAGTCGTAGTCTGTCGAAAACAGCTGATATGAATATATTTGGATTATTCTAGAAATTACTCTACACTCAGAAAACAAAAGTAGTAAGATTAAAATTTTGAAATTATCAAATAAATATTATTTATTTCAGAGAAATGAAAATAAACGAAATTGTTTAATAAAGTGACGTAATTATAAAAATTGCAAAATCTGATCGTAACAGTATTGGCAATTTTGTCTTACAACATCTGCTATTTAGTAGCTGTGAGGGGGAGTAATTTAAATTCTTAAGGGGGTCTTTCTTTATTGAAGTAGGGATGACTCTATATCTTTATTTTAGTCTATTGACTTTTTTAACATATTTTTTGCTATACCCACAGCTTTTTCAGCTAGTCCATTGGATTGTGGGTAATTTGGACTTCTTAAAATTAACCTAAAATTCCACTCTTTGGCAAAGTCTTGAAACCTATAGCTTCCAAAGGGTACATTATCAGCTACTAAACACTCTGGAGAACCAAATCTTGCAAGAATTTGTCTCATTTGATCTACCACCGATTGAGTACTTTTATCCTGAAGTGGTAATAGCTCCAGCCAATTGGAGTATGCATCAATCATGACCAAGTAACTTTTATTAGCATATGAGAATATGTCAACTCCTACGCGTTCCCATGGACGTTGGGGCTTTGGATATAAGAGTAACGTTTCTTTACTATTTTTGCGCGAAAATTTTTCACAAATTTGACAGGATTTAATAAATAATTCAATGTCTGAATTTTTGTGAGGCCAATAAAATAATGATCTTGCTCAATTTTTAGTTTTTTCAATGCCCAGATGACCTTCATGTAATAGTCTTAACATTTCATTTCTCATTGTCACTGGTACAATTAGCTTGTTACCTAGGAACAACAGATTTTCACAAATAACTAGTTCATTTTTTATTTTAAAATACTGTTTTACTGATTCCTTAATTTTCACTTTATTTTGTGGCCACCCATTTTGAGTAAATTTAATTACAAGTTGTAATAGCTCATCATTTTTAGTCTCTTATTTAAACTGTTCTATCCGATTATCAGATATAGGAAGAATTTTTATATTTGAATGCACCGCTCGTTCTAGTTCTAAATATGTTTCTGTATCAGTTTTTTTTAAGAAAAGCTCTAGATAATGTATCTGATATGTATAAGAATTTACCTGGTTTGTATGTTACATTCAAGTTGTAATTTATTAATTTCAATCTCATTATCTGTAAACGAGGGGATATTGATTGCAAATCCTTGCGAAAGATGGTTTCCAAAGGTTTATGATATGTGCTCACTTTTATATCATAACCATAAATTAACAAATGAAATTTTTTAATCCCAAAGACAATAGCCAAAGTTTCTTTTTCAATCTGAGCATATTTCTGCTCCGTTTGTGTTAAGCTTCTAGATGGAAAGGCTATCGGGTGCCCACCTTGAAGGAGACAAGCACCTAGCCCATCTTTTGATGCATCTGTCTCTACTTCTATTGGCTTTGAGGGGTCAAAAAATGCCAGCACAGGAGCTGTTATTAGCAAGTGTTTCAACTGGTTAACTGAGTCTGTGTGTAACTGGTCCCACTTCCACTCAACATCATCTCTTGTCAAATTTCTTAGACAGGCTGTTACTTTAGAAAGATTGGGAATAAATTTACCAACAAATTTTATCATTTCCAATAACCTTAAAAGATCTGGTTTAGACTGAGGTAATGACATGTCTATGATTGCTTTTGTATAGCTTTTGTCTGTTTGTATACCCTCTTTTGAGAACAGCTGACCAAGAAACTTGACATTTTGTGCTTTAAATTGAATTTTTTTTAAATTGAATTTCACATTATATTTCAGAGCTCTCTCTAGAACAATTTTTAAATTGTGATCATGTTCTGCTTCAGTGTGACCAGTGATAATTAAATCATCGAAGTATAGACCTACTCCATCAATATCTCCAAATATTTCGAAATTTTTCTTTTGAAAAACCTCAGGTGCTGAATTTATACCAAAAGGCATTCTAACAAACTGGAACCTGCCAAAGGGTGTCCCAAAAGTACATAAATTTGCACTCTCTTTGTCAATCTCCACCTGCCAGTACCCGTCTTTCATGTCTAATACTGTGAAATATCTTTTGTTACTTAGTTTTGCTGATACTTCCTCCACCGAGGGAATCAAAAAATGTTCTCTTTTAATCATACTATTTAGATGTTTAGGGTCAAGGCAGAGACGCAGGTCTTTGTTATTTTTTTCTACAATTACAAGTGGATGTACCCATTCAGTAGGTTCATCAACTTTTTTAATTACTCCTAATTTTTCAAGGTCATCTAACTTTAATTTTAACCTCTCATGCAAAGACTGAGGCACACGCCTTATAGGCATTATGTAAGGACAAGCATTTTCTTTTAATGTAATATGATATTTTGTTGGAAATCTGCCTAGGCCGTTAAACACTTCATGATAATTTTTTGTTAAATCTTCAAGCGATTCAAATATTTTCTCTACAGTATTGATTCTATTAATTAATTCTAGGTCTTTACAGGCTTGTAATCCTAATAAAGGGATCTGACCAACACTTTTTATTACAGCGAATATTATGTTTGACTGTTTGTTCCCAATCGTGCATACTAAACTAATTTGGCCTAAGGGTTTGATTCTGAATTGGCTACTACCAATATGATATCAATGTAATATTAGTATTGACCATTTTATTCAGCACTCCGAGTTTTTTCAAAATACTTTCAGATAAAACGCTTACCTCAGCTCCAGTGTCTAGCTTAAATAATATCTTTTGATCATTAATTATTAAACACTCGGTCCACATTAAATTACTATCGTATTGCACGGAACTGACACTTTTCTGCACTCACAAAGATGAAGATGCTACGAAGAACTCACTGTCACTTTGATCACTATCAATATGCCCTTCTACTTTCACTGCATGAGCATTTCTTTTTCTTATATTTTTGCTCCTTGAAACTGGTTCTTCAACTGGTTTGCTCCTGTTTTGGCAGACATTTGCGAAATGTTTCCTTCCTTGGCATTTAGCACACGTTTTTCTAAAAGCCGGACAGTTTCTTGGGGATGCTTATAGCCACAAGCACCACATGCACCTGAAGGTACCCTCTCTCGTCCTGTTGTGTAAATAGCACTTACTCCCACTTCATTTTGTAGCACTTTCGACTGAGTTTTGCTTACTTCTATGGATCGACAAACATTTGTTGCTTTCTCTAGAGTTAAATCTGGTTCTCTCAGTAATTTTTCCTGGGTACTTTTGTCATATATACCAAAAACAATACGATCTCTGACCATTTCGTCAGTTTGGGTATACCCTGTTGTTCTTATAGCTTTCTTTAATTCGGTGACAAATGCATTGAATGGTTGTCCCTCTTTTTGAGTAATACTGTTAAAGAGATACCTTTCATATATTTCATTCTTTTTTGGTGCACAGTAGGCTTCAAACTTTTGTAACACAACGGTTTCAGTAATTTCTTCATTTTCTTCCCACGTAAATGTGTTAAACAATTCAAGTCCTTCATCTCCAATGAGATTTAAAAACATTGCTTTTCTCTTTTCTTGAGGTTTCCCACAGTATCCCGTAGCATCCATAAAAAGTTCATATTTTTGCTTAAACTTCTTCCAGTATTCGGAAATGTTACCGTCAAGTATTAGGTTTCCTGGTGGTCTGAAAAGAGACTCCATTTCTGTGTGTTTCTACACCTCAATTAATTATTAATTTTCTAGTTTCGGCTATTATTTAACTAGCAAATAACACCTGACACCATGTCTTATTTTGGGTGCTGGTTGTGTTGATATGTTAATAAAGATACAGAACTAGTTAAGTTAGTATTAACTTTATTTTTACTAGTTGCTACAAGTTGCAGTTCCCACGTTCGACCCATGTGTTGTCTTAACCTCACTCTGGTCGTCTAGCCGTGGCTATAGTTGCGGCGACGGCTAGATATATTACACTAAGTTCCATACTTTATTTTATAAAATAATTTATGAGGAATAATTTAAAATATAATTTATAGAACTTCTAAATTTACCTCAATCTGTCAATTGTTATTTAAGTTCCTACTCCAAATACAAGGTGGCGCTACTTTGGTTTAAAAGTCTAATATTGGCGTGGGGTCTCTGGAGGATAGATGCATTGTAAATCTAACCGTCACTGCAAATAGAATTCGAAAAATCTGGTACACTTTCTAGACAAATCTGGTACGACATAATAAAAACATAATCTGACAACACCGCTCATAAATAACCTTCCTTTTTTTACGAATTAAATCATAAGAGTTTTAAACTGTTCCTATATTCAAATAAATAGAATATTGGAATGATATAATCGGAATTCGTTTTTGTCGAAGTTCACAAAGGTGTGAAACTGATAGAGTGATTCAATTGATGGATCAAAATTACTAGACTGGAAAATAGATGGATTAATGTCAACAACTTGGATGATCTATTTTACATTTTTTCGCTACATTGTAATAATATAATATTCCTTTTAAGATTCTCTTCTATCTTTAGCCGAGCGTTAAATACATTTTACCGTCATAAACGTTCCCTTTTCTTGTTTTCAGATGAGCCCCCATCAGCTGCGCAAATGGAGGCATTAGAAAATCTACTTAAATGCGGTGTGCAAACAAAGAAAATTGCTCCGGATTATCGGCTGATTGCCCACAGGCAAGCTAATTCGCAAAGGAATTGTCCCGGCGAGGCTTTGTTCGAATTGATCAAGAAGATGCATCACTGGGATCCCACTTTAAAGTGATCCATCTCGGTTTTTTAATACCTAATTAATACTGTTATAAGAAAATGAAGTAAAAGATTTTCTTATTCTATAAATCTTGTTTTCTTTTCTGTAAATTGCATTGTAGACCTTTATAAAGAGGTTAGCATTGATGCACGTAAGTATAAGGGTCGACTACGGGGGCCAGGACGTAGGACCCCCTCAGAAATAACTCCGGAGAGGCAGTATCTTCAATCGAAGGTAAAATCCCATGAAAAATAATAAAAATAAAGAACTGTATTAAATGTATCGTTTTTTAATAGTATTTTTTTTTTTTTTTTTTTTTGTAATGGGAATTCCCAGTAAGCGCGAGTCATAAGCTCGCGTTGATTACGTCCCTGCCCTTTGTACACACCGCCCGTCGCTACTACCGATTGAATGATTTAGTGAGGTCTTCGGACTGAGCGCGGTGGCGTTTCGGCGTCGTCGATGCTTCGGAAAGATGACCAAACTTGATCATTTAGAGGAAGTAAAAGTCGTAACAATTGGTTAAATTTTTTTTTTCGATTTGGGTTTACGTAAAGGGGGAGGGGGGAAAGGGGAAGGAGGGAAGGAGGGAAATATTTCGATAGAATTGGTAGAAAAAACGGGATGGTTGAAGAAGAAGAGAATTGGGGAAACGCCTGTTACTTCTTCTCTTAGGAAGAGTTAAAAGTAAATTTTTCGATAGAATTATAGGGAAAAACGGGAAAGTTGAAGAAAGAAAAAAAGAGAATTGGGAAAACGCCTATTACTTCTCTTAGGAAGAGGTAAAAGTAAATATTTCGATAGAATTAGAGGAAAAAAGGGAAAGTTGAAGAAGAAAAGAATTGGGGAAACGCCTGTTACTTCTTCTCTTAGGAAGAGGTAAAAGTAAATATTTCGATAGAATTAGAGGAAAAAACGGGAAAGTTGAAGAAGAAGAGAATTGGGAAAACACCTGTTACTTCTTCTCTTAGGAGGAGGTAAAAGTAAATATTTCGATAGAATTAATAGAAAACGCGGATAGCATGAAAATATATAAATAATGATTAGATATTGTGCAGCGACCCCTTCGGGGACGCTAGCGGGATGTGTCGTCCAGATATCTCTTATACGTAATTTGGCAAAAAAAAACTGACGCCCGAGAAAATATATAAATAATGATTAGATATTGTGCAGCGACCCCTTCGGGGACGCTGGCGGGATGTTTCGTCCAGAAATCTCTTATACGTAATTTGGCCAAAAAAAACTGACGCCCGAGAAAATTTTTGTGTACGTGGCAAGTTAGAAAGGGGCAAAAAGTATTTAGGAAAAATATTAAAAAAATTATTCGTTTGTGATAAACTATCGAAAAAACAAAAAGAAATTTTAAAAACGTCATAAAAAGTGACAGTTGACAGACGAAAAATATAATACCGATTCGGGCACCCTCTGATATCTAGGGCATCTACCACTAACATAATAGCCCTTATTCAAAGCACCCAGTTCTCACAGGAGGGAGGCAAAGGTCAAAAAACACGATTTTCGGTACATTTTCACCGTTACCATGGAAACCTCCAAACAAATTTTCACGCGGATTTTTTTTTGAAGCGTCCCGTGGGTTTAAACGTTCGGGCCCAATATCGTTTAAATCGCTCTACTCGTTACTAAGATATGATTTTTTAAAGTCGCCCGGAAACCCTTAATACGAAATTTGGCCGAAAAAAAATGGCGCCCGAGGAAATTTTTGTGTGCGTGGCGAGTTAGAGAAGAGCAAAGGGTGTTTAGGAAAAATAATAAAAAAATTATTCGTTCGTAATAAACCACCGAAAAAGCAAAAAGAAATTTTAAAAACGTCATAAAAAAGTGACAGTTGACAGGCAAAAAATTTAATACCGATTCGGGCACCCTACAATATCTAGGGCATCTACCACTAACATAATCACCCTTCTTCAAAGCACCCAGTTCTCCCAGGAGGGAGGCAAAGGTCAAAAAACACGTTTTTCGGTGCATTTTCACCGTTACCATGGAAACTGCCAAACAGATTTTCACGCGGAATTGTTTTTAGATGCATCCCGTGGGCATACACGTTCCGGCCAAATTTCGTCAAAATCGCTCCACTCGTTACTGAGATATGATTTTTTAATCAATTTCGGAAACCCCTTTTTTTCCAATATTTTTCACTATTTTAGCATTATCCATGTATCTTAGTTGTTTATTATCAGCAGGGACGGTTACTCCATTTGTTCATTTGTGCAGTGAACACCCAGTTAAATTTCATAAAAACACATTATTTTAATATTACATAAAAATATAAATTTAATTTTAATATTTTTATTTTCATACGTGTTAATCTATATTTTTTTGTACATCATTGTCCTCTGGCTGATCGCGTCTCTGTGTCACAGTATACCTAAGTATATTGTGTCTGTGGCGCATTATGATGAGTTAGCCTAACACGAGTGCGACGGTATGCCGAATGCATATAGCTAAAAAGAGAAGACAACACGCCAACAGATCCTTCAAACTGTCGAAGAACACATTAATTGGCGCGCCGCTCACGAACAAGGTTGTCAAAGCAGTGTTGCCAGTCTAGTACAATTCACAAATAGCTACGTTCGTTTGATCTGTCTACAGACACATAATTTTGTAAATAACCATAGGAATAAAGTAAGAGTTATATTTTAATATTTTATCATTCCATTTCTTTTATTTTCCATAATAATTATTTTTCTTTAATTATATTTGACCATAAATATGAGACACGAGAAACTGGCTGAACACTAGTTCTTTTTGGTCTTAATAGGTTGGCAACATTTTTTGTTAGAAATTTGTCAATTCTATGATCGAACTATCACTTTTTTTAAATAACTTTATGCGGCCCTTTCCAATTTGATTTTTGGAAGAAGATGTTGGGATTTAGCTCCGCACTGTCTTAAATAGTGTTAAGTAATAATTAGTTTCTGAGCTTTTTATTTTGTCCAAGGGCCCACGTGCCATTGTTTATGTTACTTTTATTTTGGATAAACCTGGTTTTTGACCAAAATCTGAGGCAAGTGTGACGCCGAGAGATACTTTCTTCCACGTATTGCTGGATCCCGGTAGCAGAGAAAACCCTCAAAAGAGGTAAGTCATTTTCTTTGGTGCATTTTCTTTGTCTGGCAAAACACTCATTTTAATATATATATATATATATATATATATATATATATATATATATATATATATATATATATATATATATATATATATATATATAGGGTTCTTCCTGTGGAGATGAACAAGAGAGCCACATCAACCGTGGGTGGTTATTCTCAGAAAGCTAAAGAAAGTAATTTTGTCTTGCCAATATGCTGGTCCGTTTTATTTACCCTGCGAAGCATTAATTTCCTCTTTATTTCAAACGTTCTTACGATGGTCCCGTGCCCCAAGCCGTCCTGTAACATGATGAGCTTCGATGTGTAGTGTGTAGCCTAACAGAGGGCTCTTTCTAATGCCGCTGTCAGACCTAGGATTATATTTTGGTATTTATTATTTTTTCTTTAATTTTAACAATATGTTTGCAATGTCTATTTAGACACTTTACTTATATTTTGAAACGGGTGCTGCTTCATTTTCTATATGATTTAGTTTTAAGAATACGTTTTGTTTCTTTTATTTATAACCAGTTTGTAAATATTATTTTGAGTACTCAAAACAATATACCTTAATTTTAACAAGACGTCTCAAATAGGTATAAATAAACCTTATTTTATTATTCATATATTTCTCCAACTATTGGCGAATGAATTGAGAGGATATTCTCAATTACACCATTTCTATAAATTTAACTGTTTAAAAATGAATTGAGTATTTTCAATTATATTGTTTCTACCAATTATAAATTTAATTGTTGATAGGTGGATTGAGAAAATACTTCCAATTTTATTACTTTTAGAGTTTCATTCATCAAATGAATTGGGTAAATATTGTTAATATATCATTATTTCTCTTTTGAGCAAAGAACATTTGTATAATTTAATGCTCATCGAACAAATTGAGAAAATATTGTTGATATATGACTTTCATTTATTTATGTATGACTTTTATTTCACAGAATATCATGATCATCTCTACAAGTGTCTATTTGCAGATTCATGTATTTATGGTTTAATTATTTAAATTTTATTTACTATGGTTTCTGAATTTACCTTTAGATTTTAAAAACTTCTTTATCAAATAATACCAAATTTTTTAATCTATAAAAAATTCAGTGGCGTCCATCTATGGTTTAAATATTTTTTTTGTATTTTATTTAAGTGTATCTAAAGTCAGTAGACCTAGAACTTGTCTAGGAAACAGTTGGCCTCATAGTCTGCGAAATTTTATGTTTGTTATCAGTGACAGCTGTCATTCATAATAAAAAAATTTCCCTTCAAAGTTTTCTCACGCGCCAGGTTAAGTACACAAAGTATCGGTAGTTTACCGTGAATGTCGGAGCCCAACGGGCCTCCCACAGCTTCTGGATTCGAAACAGAATATACTAAACGGCTTAAAAACAGATGCCGGTTCTCACAGCCACAATACCAGAAAATACTGAAATTGAACTTAACAAAAACCACTAAAGCCAAAATAAAACAAACATATGTGAGTACCAATATATTTGACGCACTTTGCCCTATCATAAAACCTGAGAACGTGGTGCTAGAAGCCCCCCAGACAAAAATTTCTGGGGAGTCGCCTTCAAGTGACCCTCAAACACTTGAAATACCAGAAGTAGGCGAAACAATTAAAATCATCATAGAAGGTGCTAAAACGACTCCTAAGTTGTCCGTGGCTGATTCTGAGGAATCATAAGAATTCCTAGACCGTCAGGACAGTCAAGAAAGTCAACATGAACAAAATGAACACGATAATTCGGTCCAGAGACTGTTAAACGTACTCGAAAGCTCCGGTGATTCAGAGAAAATGGACACCACAGAACAACAAAACGAAAATGTCGATTCTGGCGAATATCCCCCAGGAACAGCATTAACCCTTCCCATTCAATGTCCTAATATAGTCTTTAAAAGTCTAGCTTTCCTGACTAATGTTGTGCAGAAAAAATTGAACTCCAGCAACACCGATCAAGGATTAAACCTCCCCCACAATTATCCATTCAACCTACTGGAAGTGTGGATAACGCCCAAAAGAGGGGTGAATTGAGTATCCTCGCTCAAGGGCCAGTGTCCACACTCTCAGACCCAAATAATCCTATATCAACTGGTGCGATTAGGAAAACTAGAATAAATAGCGACCCCAAAATAAGAATAGAAGTAAATACTAGTAATGTGTCTAGAAGTATTGCTAAAAATATTCTTAAATATGACTCCAATAGTCACACGTCAGAGGAAGAACACAAACAGAGAAACAAATATACAAAAAGGTATGACAATCTGCCCCATTCGCCCAACAGCCTATTTAAACTAAAGTTTGTGCAAGATAGAGCAGCATACGAAATGGAAAGTGACATAGAAGACAGAAATCAGAAAAATAACGACACTCCATTTCTAACACCGAAAAAGTTCAGTAAAAACTTTGAAAAACTTATTCGTGAAAAATCCAAAAAGACAATTACTCCCACAAGAAACCAGTTTCAACCCCTAACGCATGAATCCGACTCTGAAGGGGATGACGACATAGGAAAAATTGTTAAGAAATGAAAAAAAGGTCAGAAATTTAAACCTCTTATATTGGAAGACTTAGAAGCGCCAAGTACATCAAACCACCAGACAGCACACTCATCCAAACCCACACGAGTAAAAATGAGAGCTAACAAGAGCAAAGACACTATGTCCCCCATAGTAGTAGATGGGAAAACTGCGAACCAAATAAACTAAGTCAATGATCTTAAAGCAATAGTAAAAGGAGAGTTTAGTATTAAGCATACAAACTATACAACAATAATTTTTGTCGAAAACAAAGACCATAAAAATGTACTTAACAACGTTAAAGCCGAAAAAATGCCACATCATACTTACACCTCCAGGGATGATAAAACCCATGCTTTCGTACTTAGAGGGTTGGACAAAGGCACGAAAATTAGCGACATCGAAGACAATCTAGTTGAAGAACATGAGATCAAAGCCAGAGCGATTTACACAATGAAAACTAAAGACAGGCCACTTTTTCTAGTTGTTACCGACCCAGGAATAACGCTAGAATATCTAAATAAAAATACAAGGCGAGTGCTATACACAAGGGTTATGTGGGAACTACGGAAATCGACCAAGCTTATAATTCAATGCCACAATTGTCAGCAGTGGGGGCAAGCTACTGCCAATTGTGGTCTGCCTCCAAGATGTCTCAAATGCGCGGGTGTTCACCACACTCAAACCTGCACCAAAACCATGGACACACCAGCAAGGTGTGCAAATTGCGGGGGTGATCACACCGCAAACTACCCAAAGTGTGAAAACTATGTCTCTAAACTCAAAAGGCTTATGGAAAAAAGGCCAAAATTAAACACCAAGTATCTACTAACCCCCAGCCCAGTATTAACCAATGGGAGGCCAGAAGGCAAATACCAAATAACAAGGAAGACTTTCCAGCACTGCAAGTCAGAAGGCAACGTGAAGATTCTTCAAAAACACGATATCCCCCCAGAAATATGGAATTACCTAAACAAACTACCCCCGGCGGATCCATGGACGATTTCGTGGCCCTAAACGAAGAATTTGCCACATTAAACAGGCTGGTAAATATAGGTAAATTAACTAGAGCAGTCAGAGCACTGAACGCCAGACTTATACAATGTAAAACGGGAAAGGAAGTCATAGAGACGTATAACGCGTTCATGAAGGACGTCGACATAAATTTCATAATAAAAATTTAAATTGGTAAAAAAAATATAGTTAGCAAAAATACTGATGCGTGATAAGGGTGTGAATTATATATTGTTTTCCTTGAATCAATCAAACAGTTGTTTAAGCATGTGCCTATTATTTAATATTAAATATGTTTTAAGCAAGGATTTTATCATTGCATGAGAATTGATGGTATTTAAGTATATTTTGTATATATCAGGAAGTGTATTATAATTTTTTAATTGTAGATATTGGAAGTTTCGTTGGCCTACAGTTTTTTTTGCAATATTTGTTGCAATAAATAGTTGTGATCGATTTCTTGTCTGGTATGAATGTTGAATAGGTATTAGTAACTGCTTATTTTTATGTAAATTTACCATCATAGCAAGTGTAAATAGTTGTCTTATATCTAGGACTGCAGATTCTATAAATAATTCGTCTGATGGGTGTGATACTTTTTTGTTATGTATTATTTTTAATATTTTTTTTTTAATAATGTTTAATGGTTGTAAGTAGGTGACAGAGACTCCACCCCATCCGAGAATCCCGTATCGTAAACGTGATTCCACTAGTGAATAATATACGATTTTTAGATGATATATATCAAGTATAGATTTTAAGTAGCGAAATTTATATAATAAATACCTTAAGGTCTCACAAATTTCATTTACATGTTTATCCCAGCGTAAATGGGAATCAATTGTTAATCCTAGATATCGAATACTATCGGCTCTGTTTATAACGAGATTTTTTATTTTTAATGAATTATAATTCGGCAAACCATTTTTATAACTAGCAAAAGGAACGAAAAATGTTTTTTGAACATTTACTGTAAGTAACTTGTGACTAAATACATCTATAATTTTTACTAAATCGTTTTCCATTTTAACCTTTAGGTCAGTCCAGGTTTCAGCTGAATATAAGATGGCAGTATCATCCGCAAAACTTATGATACTACCTTCTGTATGGTAGGTTAGTACATTATTTATGTATAGTATAAATAAAATAGGTCCTATTACGGTACCTTGTGGTATACCAAAATTTATTTCTTTTTTACTACTTACCTCTTCGTCTATCCTGACTACTTGATTTCTACCTAACAAATAGCTCTGCATTAAATCATGAACTTTCCCACGTACTCCTGCATCCTCCAAGACATCCAACAGTTGCGTGTGGCTAACCGTATCAAATGCCTTGGCTAGATCCAGAAATACGCAAGCAGTTGGAGTGCTTGCATCAATAAGATTGTATATCTTGCTTGTTAGGGATGTAATGGCATTTTCCGTCGACATTCCTCTTCGAAAGCCAAATTGGTTTTCAGACAGTAAATTATATTTTTCTAAATATGTGGTAAATTGATTTGTTAACGCTTTTTCTAAAATCTTACTTAGAGTTGTAATTAACGATATAGGCCTGTAATTTGTTTGTAATTTTCGGTTTCCTTTTTTGTGTATGGGAACAATTAAAGTAGTTTTAAATTGTCTAGGCCATAGTCCGGTTTCAAAAATAGTATTTATTAAGTAAACTAAGGGATGGCTAATTATAGATGATACTTTTTTTATAACTTCAGATTTAATGTTATCTATTCCTGGTGCCTTATTTAATTTTAGAGTTGATATAATGTCACGCTAAACAAATATCACCCTATATATATAAAATATATATTTTCTATTTTAATATTCAGTTGTTAAATTAAATAATTCAGCATAATATTTTATACAATATTTTAATAAATATTAGATTCAATTAGTAAATACATTCTCGATAAATGTAAATATAATATTAAACTAGACACGTTTTGACCTTAACCGATTAATATAAAGATCGGCCGGGTCAACAATAATGGCACTCTTAGTTTGAGTCTCATCATTGTCTCTCATCCCAGCGAAGAAGTAACGTGACGTGCCCTCGTCGCCATTTAGATGTTTAGCCCATGGTAAGGCCCATATTGTATTATTAATATTATCTGTTATATATTTTTGAATATTAATTATTTATTGATTAATAAAATTGTTATATTTCAACTCGACTTTTATTTCATAAAGAAAGGTAGCACGAATTAATAACATTAAATAATTCTTTCGACCCATAGAAAAGGGGGTCGTGACATATGGTGGAGGCAAGTAAATAGTAATTTGTGTGTTGTGATAATGTGAATAAATGGAAGTATGAGAAACTCAGTAGTAAAAGTTATAAATATGATTGTAGGGATTCGAATTCAATAAAAGTAAACTGTATGAGAAAAAGGGAATACATAGAGAATATGTTTATAGATGAGAATTAAAATAATAAGAAGTATATTATGATGATTAGTGAGTATAAAATGAAGTGTACGAGTAAAGACACATGTATGAGAGTGATATTTTAGTAAAATGAGAGACTCGTGATTTAAGGTTGTCGTACAAATAAGTACGATAGAGGGGGAGAAGGGTTAGGAAGAAGACTGAAAGAAACAGTTGATAACCTATCTCACCCTGAAAATGAAAAGTTAAAATATATGAAGAGTGTGTATAAAAAGATGCACAAGTTGATTTTTTGTGTGTACGAAATAAATAGGACGAAATAAATCCCAAAGAAATAAGACGTACAAGGATGTACGAAATGAAGACTCTGTCTATATGTAAAACGACAAAGGGTTCATGTGTAAAGCCCAAATGAAAGTTTGTGGAAATATAATCCAATATCTGTCGTGGTATTAGCCAGAGAAGTAGTTGTTTTTTCCTTAAACAAAAATCACAGGGTAGAGTTTATTAAGATATTAATAAATGATGAGAGACTACGAGAGTAACAGATGTTTTAAAAGAGTAAAAGAATTAAGATACCTACAAGCGATGCATGTGAGAAAGAGAAAACTGAGTGATTTTTTTTTTTTTTAAACTTACATTACCTAAATGCTAATAGGAAAAATTATCAAGAAAAATATAAATTGTTTTTTTTAATTGGTAATGAAAAGTTGTGTTTACGATTCAAATCAGCATTACTTCAACAAAAGAGGTCGACATTCGCAATTTCTCAATATTTTGTTTTGATATTTAAGTCAAGTTCACCATAGGTATCCAATTTCACAACAAACACTTGCCGTAGAATAATGTAATTAGATAACAAAAACATTCTTATTACACTATTATATAATTTTGCTTTCATTAAAAGAGATGATCTAAACATAGTTCATAAATAAAAACATTAGAGTACATACGGGGGAAATAATAGAAATTACATTTTTTTTTTTTTTTTTTTTATTTTTCTAGTGGGTGAAAAAATTACGTAATTACGAGAAAAAATTAAAATAAGTCCAATACATAAAGTTATCTTTTTTAAATAATATATAAACACGGAGGGGATAATATTATATATAGTTTAAATTTTTTTTTGGTATTAACAATGGCAAACTGCTAAAATATTTAAAAATATTGTGATCAAGATATAAATATGTAAAGGGTTTGCCATTTGTTCCACTTAAGCTAAGTTATAAATAGGAATATTTTAGATTAATTTTTTGCTCCTCTTGGTAAATTTACATATAGACTACCTGTAGTTTTTTTCTTTGTTACATATGAGCCCACACCACCAGTCAAACACTACCAACCAAATAGACACAATTCAGCCACCCGGACATGACCACCCCTGGAGCTAGCCCTAAAAGATGAATACCGAATGGATCAAAGTGATGAGACATTACCGGTTGCTATCCCAATAGTATTGGACAATCCGAGAGGTCAAGTGCATTAATCAGTATAGCGAAGTGGTTGTTATGCTAAAAGTCCTAGAAAAGCAACCCTAAGAGTCCAAATAAATAGAACTGTCAGAGAAAAGCGAAGGAAGAAGTTATGGGTACCAGCGAAAAATACCCAAACGACAGTTATTCGGCCAAAATACAGATTGGCCGCCAACAGTCCCAGCAGTCAGAGAGAAACTGCCTGTAACTAAATCGTCGGTGAAATCAACCAGTTATGCCCTGCAGTTTAAATTCAACGAGGTTGGAAACTTATTCGAGGGAATGTCCGACTTAAACTACGGCCCGGATCGTCCCAGTCAACCATTGGAACTACGGCTCCCAGGTATATGTGAACCACATATCACAGCTCTCCAACCAAGTAGCTGTGATGACGACATTCGAGTCTCCAAGGGGCAGAACAAGCCACGCAGCAGAAGAAGAAGAAGAAGGTGTTCCGCAGGGCTGGATGTGTAAAAGACTAGACTTTAATGTGGAGTGTTCGACTATCGGTAAAACAGAACTAGTTAAGGTGTGCGGACTCTCGAAATAAAAATGTGGTTTTGTCAATAACTTTTGAGGAGATATTGTTTTTAGTTATATTCTGTTTAGCTGTAAAACATTTTTTTTTCTTTCAGGGTAGATTTAAGGATAAAGCTCGGGTCGAGGCTTTGGCCGTCGGGGGGCATGTCACGCTAAACAAATATCACCCTATATATATAAAATATATATTTTCTATTTTAATATTCAGTTGTTAAATTAAATAATTCAGCATAATATTTTATACAATATTTTAATAAATATTAGATTCAATTAGTAAATACATTCTCGATAAATGTAAATATAATATTAAACTAGACACGTTTTGACCTTAACCGATTAATATAAAGATCGGCCGGGTCAACAATAATGGCACTCTTAGTTTGAGTCTCATCATTGTCTCTCATCCCAGCGAAGAAGTAACGTGACGTGCCCTCGTCGCCATTTAGATGTTTAGCCCATGGTAAGGCCCATATTGTATTAATATTATCTGTTATATATTTTTGAATATTAATTATTTATTGATTAATAAAATTGTTATATTTCAACTCGACTTTTATTTCATAAAGAAAGGTAGCACGAATTAATAACATTAAATAATTCTTTCGACCCATAGAAAAGGGGGTCGTGACAATAATATTACTTACTTCATGTTCACTAACAGGTAATAGATAAAAAGAATTTACCATTCGCTTATTTTTAGGTGGAGCAGAATTTGGTTTCACTATTTTTTTGGCATAACATTTTCCAACTTTTGAGAAATATGTATTAAACTCTTCAGCTATTATTTTTTTATTTTTACATACTGTATTGTTTTCTAGAACAATTTCTTCAATTTTTTTATCATTTACATTATTTGTTACATTATTTA